ATTAGTAAAAATAAATCATTACTATAATATTTAATAATATCAATTTTGTTCTGCATTGTTCGAATTATATTAGAAAAATTAATAGAACGAATGTTTAGATTTAAAAATATACATATATATATATAGTTATGTTATATATATTAGACTTTTGATCGTATTATCATAGTATTATTAAAAGAGTAAATTTATAACAATTTAATTAAGTTGCAATCTATATATTTCCAAACAATTTGATATTTTATTTAGATTTTAACAAACTAAAATAAAATTTTGATTTTAAAAATATCAATAAAATCTTAAGACTTTTTTTACAGAATAATCTTATAGTAAACGGTGTTTACAAATGGATTGAATAAATATCAGAAAAACTTGACAGAAAATATTATAATATATATAAATCACCACATTGCTTAATAGATTTATATACAAAATCGTATTATTATTATATTAAGTTAATTACCATTTGTTATAAATAAAATGTTCTACCACTAAAAATAACATCATCTACAAAGATATATATAGATATATAATTTAATATCATAAAAAAAATCATATAAAATATCTAAATTAAATCATTTTCCAAACAAATTCTTTCCATAATATTTAGTTTTATTATTATTATTATTAGGGAGATTCACATATTAAATATTGAACTTTAACCAAATTTCCAAATTAAATACTCAACTATCTCACTTCCAAATTAAATACTCAATTATATTTAAACTCACAAATAAAAACTAAACTTTTCAAATTTTAACATATATCTAAGGGATAATCCCAAAAAAACCCTATATTTTTTTTCGTTACAATTTAAACCCTATACTTTTTTATCCCAAAAAACCATATACTTTTCAAAATTTTAAAAATTATACACATTCATATACACATATTAATTATTATAAGCACAAAATTAATTACACATTTATTTTCTACAAAATTAATTGCACATTTATTTTATATATTTATATGTATATATATGTTTTATATATATGTGTGATATATGTATTTTTTCCTAAAAATCATTATATATTAGAAACTATTTATTATTTGTATATTGTTTTATATGAGTTCAATTGTCCAGAAAAACATGTTTTTGGAAAATAGTTTATTATATATAAAACAATATACAAATAATAAATAGTTTCTTATATATATAATGATTTTTAGAAAAAAAATACATATATCACACATATATATAAAACATATATATACATATAAATATATAAAATAAATGTGCAATTAATTTTGTAGAAAATAAATGTGTAATTAATTTTGTGCTTATAATAATTAATATGTGTATAATTTTTAAAATTTTGAAAAGTATAGGGTTTTTTTGGATAAAAAAGTATAGGGTTTAAACTGCGACGAAAAAAAAGTAAAGGGTTTTTTTTGGATTATCCCTTAGATATATTTAAAATTTGAAAAGTTTAGTTTTTATTTGTGAGTTTTAATATAGTTGAGTATTTAATTTGGAAATTTGGTTAAAGTTCAATATTTAATATGTGAATCTTCCTTATTATTATTATTATTATTATTATTATTATTATTATTATTATTATTATTATTATTATTATTATTATAACAACCAGACTCAAATTCCTTCTTAACTTTACTATTTTTGTAATAATTAATTTTTCTAAAGATAGTTATTATAATAATTTTATTTTTTACTATATTAATATTAATAAATTTTACAATAAAAATTATATATATAAATAATAATAACCAACATATTGTACAGGTGGTAACCTACGGTTTATATATAAAAAATAATATTAAATATATAAATCATGTAGAAAAAGATATGCATATCTTTACCGAGTATTGATAATTTTTCAAAATTATAAAAATATATATATACAAATTTTATAAAAATAATAAAAATATAATAGGAATAAGCCGCGCATCGCGCGGTTCTCATCTAGTATAAAGAATAAAGATGTCCATGGGCGAGGTGACGATTTTGGAGTACGTTCTTACTATTTCTAAATAGATAACATATAATTTTTTTTTTGAATTCGTTAATTCTTGAAGATAATTATTACTGTTATTAATTTCAAGAACTTAATTTATAAAGAATATAATTTCAAACTCAATAAAATAAAATAAAAAATAAAAAATACAAATATATTGTCATGTTATATACATTGTATACATTGTATGACATAAGAAGTTAAGGATAACTATTTTGGATTTCGGTTTGGATTTGATTTGGTTATATTCGGATTCAATCATTTCGATTATAAAAAAAATAGAATTAATCGGTTTTTATATCAATTGTCCAAATTCGTTTTTTTATCAGTAAAAAACTCTTTTAAAAAAAATAGATATTCGATTATTTTTTTATTCGGTTATGTTTGAATTTTATGTTTAGAAAAGTTATAACCATATCGTTTCAATTCAATTAAGATTATAACTTATTCGATCTAATAAATAAAATGGCCACCCCTGATAAGCAGTTTTCTTCCTCCTCCATAGAGATTATCCAAACTCCAAAACTTGATTTTTCTATTCAGCTTTCAACTTTTTTCTTTTTAAAGTGTGGGTGACAAAGTGAAGGTGATTTGAAATGAATATTAATTAGGGAGGCTGCAGAGTCTAAATGATGGATGCCTTAATTAAATGTTGCACCAATTTACAAGTCAAAATTATTAGGCTGGTTTATAATATATATATATATGTGTGTGTGTGTGTGTATAGAGGATATACATTATACACACATATACGATGTGTGAGCTATTTTTGGATATACAAACATATACATTTTACATATATATATATATAGCTGTTTAAATTCGGTTGATTTAATTATTTTATTTTTTATATTTGGTTGACCACTCAACCTTAGTGATTTATTCAAATTTTGGTTCAATTATATTTTAGTTGATTATAATGCGTCATTATAATTCCCAAAATTTTAAAATATATCATTATAATTCTCAAACTGATTTTTGAATAACTCTCATCGATTTTTTTTTGTTAAAAACCCATCGATATTTTTTTGACACTAACTAACAAGTTAGAGAATTATAATGACATATTTTTGCAAGTTTGTAAATAAATTTATCAAACAAAAAATTTAAAATTTTATTTTTTTACAAGTTTAGAATTTTTATGGATTTTATCCGTAATAAAACAGGTTCGATATTCAAATTAAAAACAAAAACAAAACCAGAATTACATAATCAGAATCGGATATAGACTAGATTCAGCAAAAAAAAATATATCATTACCCTAATAATTTTAGAAACGAAATTTATATATTAACTCGAAACTTTTTGGGTTTATACGTCTGAAGAGAATACTTTTAATTATAAGAGATGGGACTTGGAATTACATATTCGTGAAATTTGTACGGATAACGTAGAAATCTACGTCGTTATTTTCCCCACATGCAAAACATGTTTGATGATATTACTTGACATCGTTAATTTGCCAATTAACGTCAACATTTATTATGTTGTGTACGAAAAGTAAAACATTTACAATGTTTTTCATGAGCATATAAACTACTCTCTTTAACAGGAAATGCAACTATCTTTTCATATTTAAACATTTTTATCACATGTTATACTAAAATTAATACTTCGATGAATTTGGATGTGGTACAGGGGAGTCACAATACTGGTTTGGTTACCAAAAACCGAACTAATTCAAATAGAATTATATATTAATGTATTCGAAGTGAACATGCTATAAAAATCAATTTTTTTTAAAAAATTTAGAAAAACGAAGAATATTAAAATAAATCAAAAGACCAAATGTTTCTAATTAAATCTTCTTTTTTTAATAAAAACCAAATTTTAACCGAATGTAATATAATTCAATTTAAAAACTGAATCGGTAATTTTTTGGATAGACCATAAGATATTCTAAATAATGTTTAACTATAAACCGACATATTTAGTTAAATTTTAGTTTTTTATTAAAAAATTATTTAAGTAGAGTTGGTAATTTTTTTTATAGATCACAAAAGTTCTAAATAGCTTTAACCTATAAACCAACATTTTTAATCTTTACGCATTTAGACTAATTAATATCTCGATAGAAGTGTAAATCCGAATTTCGAATATATATATATATATATATATATATATATGTATATGTATATATATTGCACGTCTCTATAAATACGTCGGGGTGTCTACAAGCACGGATATATCAGAAGCCATATAAAACTCCGATGAATTCTGCAGCGGTGCAATGCCTGAGCTTCTCTCTGCGGCTGACTCCGTCGTCTCCACCGCCGGCGAAAGTTTCCGGAGTTTCCGGCCGAAGCTCCGCCCACGTCCGTTCCCGCCATTCCATCAAATGCGTTTCCTTATGTGAAATGATTTTCTCTCTCTATATCTCCTCCATTTTTGGTTGGCGAGAAAATGCGGGAAAACAATTCGAACGAGCCTCCGTCTCATTTCTGGAAATTTTCCTGATGTCATTTCTGATTTTCTTTTTTTTTTTTCCGAACCATTGGGACAACAACGTTTTGCAGAAGGTTCCGACTGTCCAAACCTCGTACCGATATCCCGATGTATATTCTCCGACCAGATCACTCCTGTTCTTGCTTACCGTTGTCTGGTTGAAGAAGATGATCATGAAATTCCCTCCTTTCTTTTCGAATCAATGGAGCCTGGATCTCTTATATCAACCACCGTGAGCGTTTCCGAATCTTTCTATTACGAATATAAGCTCAGGCCCAAAACATAATGAGGGCCCAACTTATACAATATCAAGTCCATGAGAGATAAGAGCAGAAGAACATACTCGAAGATGGCGTTCTGTACATTCTGTTTTCGTTTCCTCAACATTCTTTTATTCTCTCTCAATCAGTTGCTAGTTTGTTAGGAATTTGTTAGCATTTCCTTGTATAAATACGTGTAAAGATTCATTGATTAATATACAGAGAAAATTTTCTTCAATCACTGAAATGGTATCAGAGCTTTCTCTCTGATTTTTCTCAAAATTCTCTAAATTTTTGGTTTTTCTTTTTCTCTGCTTCTTCAATGGCGGATACTGTTCCTGCTATTGCTTCTCAGGTCGCTCCGGTTGCTCCTCCGGCTCCGTATACACCTGATTTTGACAGTCCCTATTTTCTTTCGTCCTCCGATCATGGTGGTGTGGTTATTGTTACCAAACCTTTGACCGGCGCTGCGGATTTTCCTTCTTGGTTTCGTGCTTTCAGAATGACTCTCGAGGGTCGGAACAAGATCGGCTTTGTCGATGGTTCTTTACCCAGGCCTGATGATGACGATCCGAATCTTCGCTTCTGGGTTCGCAACAACGCCATTGTTGGAGGTTGGATCATGAACTCAGTTGCTGAACATATTGCCCAAAGCTTGCTCTACGTTGAAACAGCCCGTGACATGTGGTTGTTTCTGTCCAAGAGTTATCAGCAAAGCAATGCTCCACGGAAATACAGAATCAAGCAGAAGTTGCGTGATTTGCGTCAAGGATCCATGGATGTCGCCTCTTATTTCTCTGCCATTTTTGCCGTCTGGAAGGAGTTTCAGACCATTCGCGCCAATCATTCCTGCACTTGTGGGCGTTGTACCTGTCTTCTATCTAAGCGATGGAATGATGAAGATGAAGGAGATTTCGTCATTGATTTTCTGTTTGGCCTCAATGATGAATACGAAAATGTTTGCGGTCATATACTTGCTATGGACCCTCCTCCTGAAACTGTCGACGCAGGAGCAGCAGCGCCTTATCAAAACTACAAAGCCTTCTGATGCTGTCATCTTTCAGAATTCTGCTTCACCTTTGCCAGAGGCTATTTCTGCTGTCTCTGGTTCTGCTTTCAAAGGTAAGCAACGTCCTCTTTGCACACATTGCGGTCTCTACGGTCACACAATCCAGAAATGCTATAGGCTTCATGGTTTTCCACCTGGCTATCGAGCTCCGAAAAATAGTGGGGCTAACTCTCCTCGACCATCTGCTCGTCAACAAACCAAGCCTGCTCCCAACTTTACTAACGTTGCTGCAGCCTCTGCCTCTGTTGCTGGCACCGATGTGGATCAGTTGTCTTTAAGTCAGATTCATGATTTGTGTTCCAAGATCAATAATCGGCTCAAAACCTCTGGTGTTACCATCACAGAAAATGGCGCCCCTGCTTCCGACCCTGATGCTGGTAACACTTTTCTCCTTTCTGCTTTTGTGTGTAATGCCTCTGCTGTTTCTGGAGATTTTAGCAATACTTGGATTCTGGATTCTGGTGCTTCAGCACATGTTTGTTTTAACAAACATCTGTTTTCTGAGATTGTTTCGATCATTCCCAGTACCGTGACTCTACCTACTGGTGTTCAGCTCTCAGTAGCTCAGGCTGGTAGTGTCCCCTTAAATGATCATCTACTGCTGTCGAATGTTCTTTATGTCCCGTCTTTTACCTTCAACATCATCAGTGTAAGTGCTCTTCTTCGTAGCACTAACTTGTCCTGCCTTTTCTCCTCTAATTCTTGCCTCATACAGGAACTTTCTCGGGGATCGACGATTGGGAGGGCTAAGCTCTATCACAATCTTTATTTCCTCGAGTCAGATTTCAATCCTGTTATTTCTCGTTTTTCTGTCAACTCCGTTTGTATTGACTCTTCTCTATGGCACTCTAGACTTGGTCATTTATCTTATCATAAGTTACGATCAATGTCTCAAATGCTTTCTCTATCAAAATCTCCTTTCCCTTCGCATTGTCGTGTTTGTCACCTTGCCAAACAACGTCGTCTTCCTTTTCCTTCGAATAATCACCTATCCAAATCTTTATTTGATCTTATACACATTGATGTTTGGGGCCCCTTTTCTACTCCCTCTCATGACGGATATAAATATTTTTTGACGGTAGTCGATGATCATTCTCGGGTGACATGGGTATACATGCTTCGCTGTAAATCAGAGGTGTTGCAGGTTATTCCGAATTTTCTGACCATGATCGAAACTCAGTTCTCTCTTCTGGTTAAGGCGGTTCGTTCTGATAATGCCCCAGAGTTGCGCTTCGACTCCCTGTTTCAGTCCAAAGGCATCATGCACTATTATTCTTGCGTACAAACTCCTCAGCAAAACTCCGTAGTTGAGCGCAAACACCAGCACATCCTGAATGTTGCTCGGTCACTGCTATTTCAGGGTAATATTCCTCTGCCTTTTTGGTCGGAATGCATCCGAACGGCTGTTTTTCTGATCAATCGGACGCCTTCGCCTCTCCTATCCAACAAAACGCCATATGAGTTGCTAAAGCACAAGGTGCCAGATTATTCGTATCTTCGGGTGTTTGGCTGTCTGGCATATGCGTCTACCCTTGCCTCGGAGCGTCATAAGTTTTCGGCTAGAGCTCGGGCGACGGTCTTCCTCGGCTATCCCTCCGGCTATAAAGGTTATAAACTCCTTGATCTTCAAACCAATTCTGCTTTCATATCCAGAAATGTTGAATTTCATGAATCTATATACCCATTTCATTCTGATATTTCTGTTATCCCAGATACCGTTTTTCCTTCGTCCATTTTGCCTTTACCAATCTCCATCTCTTCGAACCCTTCCAATTTTTATTCGCCTAATGCTAATTCTCAATTAGGCCCATGTCCTTCTCCCTCAGGCCCAAATTCTTCTGGCCCAACTTTTTCATCTACAAGCCCAGGAGCCTCAAGTCCAATTTCTTCTTCAACAAGCCAATCTTCTTTAGATCTTTTAATCAGGCCCAAACGATTTACCAAGCCCCCATCCTATCTTCAGGATTATCATTGTTATCTTTTATCCAACAACTCTCTTCCGTCTTCTTCCAGATCCCTCTACCCTATTTCATCTGTCCTCTCTTATTGTCGTCTTTCTACTCCATATAAGAACTTTATCTTAAATTCCTCCATTATTACCGAACCCAAAACCTTCAAGGAGGCTGTAACCGATGTAGATTGGCGGCATGCTATGGATATCGAACTCGATGCTCTGGCTGCAAACAGAACCTGGTCTATCGTTCCTCTACCTCCAGGCAAACACGCCGTCGGATGTCGCTGGGTATATCGCATAAAACGGAAGTGTCATTAATTTCAAATGACTATTTGGATTGAAAAATATCATAATTTACTATTTAAATAAATTTTATCACTACATAATTTGAACTTCAGGAAGGAGTGGATTTTCTGGATACATTTTCCCCGGTTGCTAAGGTTGTGACTGTGAAGCTGCTTCTTGCTCTTGCAGCAGCCAAAAATTGGTCCCTCTCCCAATTGGATGTCACAAATGCATTCCTTCATGGATCTCTTGACGAGGAAATCTACATGACCCTCCCACCAGGATACACAGCTGCCCCAGGAGAACATCTTCCCGCAAACGCTGTTTGTCGTCTGCATAAGTCCTTGTACGGTTTGAGACAGGCTTCACGACAGTGGTATATCACTTTTGCTCGAGTTTTAACCGCTGCTGGCTTTGTTCAATCGCAGGCAGATCACACTCTCTTTGTTCGAGTTTCTGGGTCTTCTTTCGTGGCTCTACTCGTCTATATAGACGATATTATTATTACTGGGAACAATGATGAAGCTGTCCAAGCCTTGAAATGTCTACTCAGTCGAAGATTTAACATCAAGGATCTTGGCTGTCTTAAGTATTTTTTGGGTCTCGAGATAGCACGTTCTCATTCCGGCATTGTTGTTAATCAGCTTAAATACTGTTTGGAGTTGATTGAAGATGCTGGCTTGCTTGCCTGCAAATCCGCTTCTACGCCTTTGGATCCGAACACTCGACTGACCAAAGATGTTGGTGAGCCTTTACAAGACATCACTAGTTATCGACGACTCGTTGGCAGGCTACTGTATCTCACACTTACTCGCCCAGACATCACTTTTGTTGTCCACAAGTTGAGTCAGTTCCTCTCCTGCCCAAAAACGATTCATCTGAAAGCAGCTCAACGTGTCATACGCTACTTAAAGGGCAACCCTGGTCAAGGTTTGTTCTACTCAGCCAAATCTGATGTTCGCCTGAATGCATTTGCAGATGCAGATTGGGCATCATGTCCCGATTCTCGGCGATCTACATCCGGCTTCTGTATTTTTCTCGGTGAATCTCTTGTCTCTTGGAAGGCCAAGAAGCAAACTACAGTGTCCCGAAGTAGTACTGAGGCCGAATACAGATCCTTGGCCAATGCTACTTGTGAACTGGTATGGCTGAATAATTTACTCTCTGATCTGCACGTTGTCGTCTCTGGTCCAGCTACCCTATATTGTGACAACAAGTCGGCCATATATATTGCTTCGAATCCCGTTTTTCATGAACGCACCAAACACATCGATATCGATTGTCATTTGGTGCGGGAAAAACTTCAAATCGGATTTCTGAAGATGCTCCATGTTCCCTCGCATCATCAGTTGGCGGATCTTTTTACAAAACAGATGCAACCAGCTCTGTTTTCTGCCCTGTTGTCCAAATTGAAACTTTCAAGCCTCTTTCTCCCGATCGCGTCTTGAGGGGGGCATATTACGAATATAAGCTCAGGCCCAAAACATAATGAGGGCCCAACTTATACAATATCAAGTCCATGAGAGATAAGAGCAGAAGAACATACTCGAAGATGGCGTTCTGTACATTCTGTTTTCGTTTCCTCAACATTCTTTTATTCTCTCTCAATCAGTTGCTAGTTTGTTAGGAATTTGTTAGCATTTCCTTGTATAAATACGTGTAAAGATTCATTGATTAATATACAGAGAAAATTTTCTTCAATCACTAAAACTTTCACTCCAAATCTTTTCGATTAATTCCTCGGCGATTGATCTTTCTTTGGATAGGGTCGTTACAGCGTTCTTGGAGCTCGGCCGGCAATGGAGATAGTGGCAAAGGAAAACAAAGTCATTGTAATGGACCACAAGAACGAGACTTTGATCGAGGAGAACGACGTCGAAGATCCGATGACGATTCCGAAAAAGATCTCGGATTCTTGGAAACCTGACCCTCGACTAGTTCGGGATCTTCCCGATACGTTCTGTGGTAGTTCATCGAGTGTTTCTGAGTCTCCTACGCCCTCGACTTTCCTTTTGGTATCGATCACAAAATAAGATCCCGCGTTTTTTTTTTTTTTTTTGGTGGCGGCGATGAGGTGGCTGGGTCGGTTTCTTCTCGTACGATACTGTTCGGTACGCTGAGAGGGAGAAGCTCCCGTTCTCTGGGGCTACTGAGGATGATATGAACTTGCCGGACATGCATCTTGGTTTGTACGAGCAAGTAGTCGTACTCGATCACGCCGAGAAGGTATTGTCTCCTTCGTTAATATTAATGGTGGTCGAGACTCGAAACCATGGTTTTAACTTTATATATATTTACACATTACACATATACACACACTCGCTCACCCAATCACACACACGCACACATATAAATATATATACATACATACATATCGATTATGGAAAAAAAAATTTGTTGAATACTGAATAATTTAAGATATAATATTTTAATGGACAATATGTTTAAACCACAATGTCATTAATTTCAAATGACTATTTGGATTGAAAAATATCATAATTTACTATTTAAATAAATTTTATCACTACATAATTTGAACTTTTATTTTTCTTAAAACAAAATATATACCATTAAACTTTGTTATTGAACTTTCTTTTTCTTTTTTTCTTTTTTTGAATCTCAACTATATGCTAAAAAACTTTAATATTTTGATTACCTTTACTTGTGTTTTTATAAATCATCTTTTATACATTCATTCATGTTCGAAATCCGACCTAAATCCATAAAAAGCCCATAGGAACAAACTACGGGCCGAAGATTTCGGACCAGGCCGACCCGTAATTTTTCAGGCTTGTCTACACCTCACAAATCCTCAAATGTCACAAAATCGAGACAGAGATCGATAGATTGAAAAACCCGAGAGGACGACGCAAAATTGGATAATATCCAAAACCGTTGGAATATGTAACCAGACGTCCTCCGCACCGTTTGTACAGAAATCATACGCTATTCATTGGATCAGACTTGACGGGAGATCTTCCTTCGAGAAAGCATACAGTGATGGAACTCGGCGTCTCGACAACCTGGTCGGTAAGTTGCAAGCCGTCGATCGGTAAGTATCTCCGCAGTCTTTAAGCTTTTCCTCTGTGATCTCGGATCGGATTTTCTCCTTAGCTTCGATTTTGTTGTCACACTGCAACAAGGCCGAGGCACGTGAAGCTTCAAACTCATCGCTTCGGACAAATTTTGAGGGGCTCAAACGTGACAAGGGAAGAGTACAAAGAATCCGTGGCAAAAGCGAAGGAGCATATACTCAACGGAGACGTTTTCCAGATCGTTTTGAGTCAGCGTTTCGAGAGGAGGACATTGGCCGATCCTTTCGAGGTCTATAGGGCTCTTCGGATTGTGAATCCGAGTCCTTACATGGGTTATTTGCAGGTCGGCGATTTCTCTTTCAACGGTTCGAGTCCTATAGCAATGGTTATGGGTGTGTTTTATGTAGACACAGATAACCCGAAAAAATCTCACGAATCGGGTGACATTCTCTTCATCTATCAGGCCAGGGGATGTATCTTGGTGGCGTCTAGTCCCGAAATCCTCACTAGAGCGAAGAAAGTAAAATCGGAATTCGATGTCAAAGATTGATCTTGCAACAGTTTTGTGGAGCTAACTCTCGTTTCCGTTGCACAGAACAAGATCTTTAACCGACCTTTAGCGGGGACCAGAAGGAGAGGAAGGACGGAAACCGAAGACGAGATGCTGGAGAAGCAGTTGCTGAATGATGAAAAGGAATGTGCCGAACACATCATGTTGGTCGATCTTGCTCGAAACGACATTGGAAAGGTAACAGTACTGGGATTTAGCTCTTCATCCATCCCACGTAACGAATCCAAACGATGCAGGTCGCGAAATATGGTGGTGGAAGAGCTTATGAGTATCGAACGTTATTCCCACGTTATGCATATAATATAAGCTCCACGGTGAGAATATTATACGCAGAATCAGTGTTTCGGTGTAACGATTTTGAGATTTACCTGTCTTTGATTTTAATATAATCGAGTTGGAACGGGTGCAGGTTACAGGGGAGCTTCGAGATCATCTCACTTGCTGGGACATTCTCCGAGCCGCCTTACCTGTAGGAACAGTTAGTGGAGCCCCAAAGGTCATATTCACCATATGATTCCACGAAATGAAAACCCGAGTTTTTCGGGCAATGATAGTTTCGGATTACTGACCTGTTGTTCACTTTGATCACAGGTAAGGGCGATGCAACTGATCGATGAGCTCGAGGCTAGAAAACGCGGACCATACAGCGGTGGATTTGGAGGAGTCTCATTCACGGGTGACATGGACATCGCCTTGGCCATTAGGACAATCGTCTTCCCGACGGAAACTCGGGACAACACCCTGTACTCGCAAGATGACGTCAACAAACGAAGAGAATGGGTGGCTTACCTTCAAGCTGGAGCCGGCATTGTGATTGATAGCGACCCCGAGGATGAGCACCGTGAATGCCAGAACAAAGCCGCGGCTATGGCCCGTGCCATCGACTTGGCAGAAGTGGCTTTTGTCAAGAGATGGAAGGATATTCTTTGAGAGAAAAAAGGCTTCAGAAACATCAAGCAGAGAGACATGTATGGAATGGATTTTCAGAATGTTAAATTCTCTGACGAGTCCTATGAAGAATTTTTCCTATTTTGTGTACTATTCCATAACATACATCCTATTTGGATTCTATAGTTTAACATCCCAAAAACATTTTAGAAAAATTAAAACAGAGAAAACATATAAAATCAAGGAGTGACCATAGATTTAGGATTGCACATCTTCTTATAACATTCATCCTGAAACCGTGAGGCATCGCTATCTTCAGCTGCATGCATAATCCAAATTCCAAGATCATAACGATCTCTTCTTTCCGTGCTAAGAATCACATTGTTAGAGGTGATTCATAATCTCAAGCACAAAGCTCATAGAGATCAATCCTGAGCCATATAAAGATTTTTAATTTCCATGATAAGACATACATTATACACAAATGATGCATAATCGCAAACAGCAACGCTTCCGCTTTTAGGATAGTACGAATCACAGTCCAACTAACCATGACAATACAATCTGACGGGAAAAACCCATCAAGCTCTCCAACGCAGAACATTCTCCAAAAAAGACAGACAAGTTCATTGAACGGGCTGTATTCTCGGAATTCTCCAACAATGTTCCCATAAATCATGAAATTTTGCCACTTCAAATCTGTAAGAGTCAGCTTGATTTGCAGATTCATACGTGCAAGAGATAGGAGTTATAAATGCAGTTGCTTTACACTCGGGTTTACACAGCCAAAATCTTTAGCAAAAAGGTTGCTAAGATCACAATACTTATAGACCAACAAGATTCTCTCACAAAAACATGAATAAAGCGCTCTCATCATCACCTCCATGAATGAAAAGCTCTGAGTTCAATCGTTGTTCACTTTAACGGACAAGAATATTAAAAGTTCACGGAGTGGGAGATCGATCCTTCAATTACAAGCACTTAGACTTATGACTGTAAACAACAAATATACATATACACAGCGATGCATCACAAGATCGCACCCACGTACCAGGACTGGAAAACACGGACGAGTTTACCGCTTGCTGTCGTAATCGACGATCTCGGAGTCGGTGACGGATCTCGAGTGCTGCACTATAGACCGTCCAATCGAGTTGATCCAGTCTTCCTTCTCCTTCTCTGAATCAGCGATGAAGTACATAGTGTCCGTCCTCGTCGAGAGCTCGAACGCGTTCTGCTTGTTCAGGACATCCTCCGCGCCCTTCACGGTGAGGCACGACGCGACAGGGATGACGCCGCGCGGGCGAGACTCTCGCGTGACGTTAGATTCCTTGAACCAGTAGAGCTTCCCCTGTTTCAGCACGAACCACCTGCGTCGCCATGTCTTGATGTACTCCCCCTGTTTCGTGAGCCACCCGGTTCGTTCAGGGTTACTCCAGAACTCGACGCCGTCGTAGTCGCCGGAATCTTCACTCCGACCTCCGATCAAAGCTCGCAACAGACTCGCCATCAGAGTCAGAGGTGTGAAATTAGGGTTTCGGTGCTTCTCTGGACCGGCGATGGAGTCGAAAACGGGACTCACGGAGCAAGTAGAAATGGAGATCGCCTTTCGCGTTGGATTTTATCTCTTGATTTATTTTTTTTCATGTACTTTTAAAACCAAACTCGCAAATAGACCCCCTGAAAATGATAAGATTATCAATTACACCCTGAAATTTGTTAACAGTCAGTGAAGCCCACTCCATTGGTACATACATCTTATAATCCATAATCAAATCATTTTATTACATACAACGTTGAAATTCATTATATAGTATTTGGGATTTCATTTAGAATTCAATTCAGATGGCAGACGTTCATTTCTGGGAAGAAGAAGCAGATGAAAGTTTCAGATGGATCTGAATCTTTACAATATGTTCTAAGGACAAAGAAGGAGAGAGAGAGAGAATGTACACTTCAGATTCAGAAAGAAGCAGCAGAACCAAAAACCAAAGACCTCTCAAGCATCATCTTCATCATCGCTTGCTCCAGCTCGAGCTTCTTGAGCTTCACGAGCCGCCCAATAACCCATCACTTCCGGTACCGACACTTTGAACCTGCCCGCAAATATTTTCGCACAAGAAACAACCTCGGAATGTCAAACCCATCATCAAAAACAGAAAACAAGTGATCTATCAAGTATGTTTTTTTTCACTCTACCGACCGTTCAAGAACGGATTTTCCTTCCTTGTATTTCTGGTTCTCCTCATAAGCCACCTCCTGAGACAAAACAGAGGAGATTGGCAGCAGAAACCACGCATTAAACAACACAAATAGTGTTTCGGGATTCGATTATGGAGTGATTACGTATTTCCATCCAAGGTAAGATCCGCATTTGACGCAGTAAATGTCAGCAACTGTGTGCAGCCCAGTTATCATCATCCGGTCTTCCTTCTCTCCAGCAGTGACATTCACACTGTCAATGGAAAAAGGGTGAGAGGATAAAAAGCAAAGTAGCTTTCAACATCGAGGGCAATTGCATAATCAAAGATTTAAGAGGGAAAAAAACGTTTAGGTTCTCACTTCTCAGTTCTCACTACTAATGGCAAAAACCCAAATGAGATCAAGAGAAGAAAACTTACACCTTATTGAAGAGATAAGCCTTGCCATGGCTGCACTGAAAAGACTGCAACTCACAAACATGGAGGAGGCAACATTATGTCAGTAATAACATCTAACGCCACACCACAGTAGGATGTACGCAAGAAAATTACAGACTTTAACCAGACAGTATATGTATACCTTGATACAAATGTGATGCACTATGGATCTGCAAGCTATGTAACTAAGGATCATGCGAGATTACCAAGAAGAACAAAAAATTCGATACCTTTACCAATAGAAAGATGAAAGCTTGAAAAGGGTTTTCAAACAACAGTTCATGGCTGAACACTAATGCATCAATGATCAGGCTTCTCTGAAAGTAAACGCAACAGTTAACGGAATTTTCCGAAACCAGCAGAAAGGACTTGACTTCCCCCATATAATGCAAAAGCCATATGATGCAAATCAACACCAAAACTTGACAACAACGCTAGATGACATCATCTCAAGTTTCAGCGTTGAACGCGAGTCATTGCCAATGAACAGACAGATGAATGAATATCATAAAAGCACAGGTAAAACTATATCCAGAACGATTTGATCACATATATACGCATTACCCAGATTAAGGTTTGGCAGAAGAATCGTTATATTGCAAACCCAAAAACAAAAAAAAAATGCGAAAAAGGAGAAAAGAATAAACCTTTGAGACGATCTCTTCATACAGAGCGAGATGGGTGTTACAGATCTTGCAACTGTAAACCTTCCCTTCCAATCTCTGCAGAAACAATCTACCCATCTGCAGACAAGACACTGTCTTCAAACGAACAAAAGAACCTTAACAGTCTTTGAGTGAAAGCCAAGTGGGATCAGGATGATTCTGATCCGAGATTGTCTGATTAGTGTGACTGGTTACGAAGAAGTGAGGGTTTTCTGAAATCGGAAGCGAAATGGATCGAGGAAAAGAGAATGGGAATCGGAGATAATCGCAACTTACTTCCGATGAGGCGATATAACTAAAGATTTAACCTTTGCTCGATCGTTTGTTAGCATTAGCTTCCCAAGAAACGTGGAACGGAAAGATCCATCTCCAGCCTTTTTTTTTCTATATTATTATAATTGTTTTTTAATTTAGATATGTTTTTATTGTATTTTTCTTTCGCCGTGAGGATTTTATAAATATATTTTCAAATAAATTATAGGAAAAAAAAATCTCAAAATCTTTATTAGACAAAATTGTTTAGAAAACTATTTACTTCAAAGTTTCAAAATGCGACCACAACTCTCTAGAAGATATAGAAATAGGAACTTTATTTTAATTATTTTAATTTTTTATAAATTATAATAATTTAGTTTTATATGTTTCATTTATACTCGAATATTTATTTAGTTTAGATTTTAATATTTTATTAGAAAATAATTATTTTTTAAAAGAACAGAAGAAGAAAATGGAGTATGGGCCGGTAACACAGACTATGGAATATCTAAAGGCCATATTACAGAAAGCCTTTTCAACGGTACCGGCATTCTCTGTTATTTTTAGGCTTAAACAAAATATAAAGCCCAAAAAGAAAGATAAAAGAAAACCGACAAAAATTATGTGATAAATAATATAAAATATTAATTATTGCAAATGGAAAAGTTGGAATTATTTGAAACCATAAATATATAATATCATATTTTTTTACAAAGTTCAATTTCTACTTAATAATATAATGTATTTACCAGATAAAACCCAATACTAGTATAAAAAATCTGGTTGTGAGTTTTTTAGAAATTGTATTCTACATCATGAATTTATGTATTTTGAGCCAAACATATTATACAAATGCCCTTTATGCTAAAAATTTGTAATTTAGGATTTCTAATAAGATATAGGCTATTCGAATTACTAATAAATAGGTACCAAAAATGGAATTAAATTTAAATTTAAATTGAATTGATATTATTTTCGAATTTAAATTAGAAAATGTGGAATTAATATCAATTAAAGATCGGATTTCAAAGGTATAAAAAGTACAATCTCAGTCAAATTATTATAAGCCATTCGAGCGTTTCGAAATCGAATTTGGATCCTTACAAAAAAAAAATCCAACTTAGAAAAAAGAAAAAAGGAGAGAGAGAGAGAAGAAGTGCACGTGCAAGTCTGACATTGAAAAGAATACCACACACGTGTGAGTGCGAGACATTGGGAAGTCGCTTTCTACTACCCACGTGTGGCTTTTACAGTTCTCGTGTTTCGTAGTTGCTTTGACTCTTTTGACCACACAGTATATTCCCTCTCCTTTTACGGAAACAATAAAAATAAAAAATAAATAACGATAGAAAGTAATTTCCCGGCAAAGGGATGATAAAATATTGGCATTTACCTTTCTGTCTTCTTTTGAATCTTTTGATTTCTTACATTTTTCTGATATATATATATATATATATATATATATATATATATATGTGTGTGTGTGTATGGTGATGGAGATACCTATTTCATTTTCCTTATAATAAAAATTTTCTGATTTTTAAATTGAAAAAATATACAAAAATACTTAGTTCATTGATTAATCCATGTGAAAATTTTCCTTTCCACTCTTCGTTTTTTTTTTTGGGGTAAGAGAATAGAGTTTGGTGAAAAGAGTAACAAAGATGGTATTTCGATGTCTCGACAAAAATGGTAAATGATATTATTGGGTCTCACAAATTTAATTCCGAATCGGATGCAAGATTTTGATGAGATCAATGTGTGGTCCAGTGAATACAACCAACGCAAATTATTAATTGTCCATCCCTACCTAAATTTAATAGAAAATAAATAAGTTTAATAAACAAAAATCAGAAATTTATAGTATCATTAGAAAGGTAATATAATAAATTAAAAAATATATATATAAACCAATAGAATCGAATCCATTATTGGAAGTTTAGGAGAAATGTGATTTGAGATAAACTGATATATATTGGCTGCATGAAAACTATAATTCTCCGTGATACATATATATATATATATATATGACTCGTTGTTTGAATTATTATTTGTCATAAATAATTTATTATATAAGATATTTATCAAGTTTTGATGTAAATTTTTTATATTTGAAAATTATAAAATTTACAATGTATTCGAGAAAATAATTTAAAATTTAAAAAAATGTCCAAATGGATCATGTGAATTGGTTGAGTAGTCCATGATTTTCTAAGAGGTCATAAATTTGATTTCATTTACCTGCGAGTTTGTCACCCTATGGGTGGTTTATGTGTTCCATGTGGTTTGCAAACTATTGCGTGGAGTCGAAAGGTTTATCATCGCGTCTGAAAGACTGTGGTTGAATTTCCGCCGATACAAAAAAAAATTAAAATAAAATAAAATAAAAAAATAAAAATTCTAAATAAAAGATCAATATAAAAATAAATATATAGTAATCAAAACTAAAATTATTCGAAGAATACTAAAATTCTTAAAAAACGTCATCTGCATAGCATATTAGCACACACCTACCACGTATCCAAGGATAACATAATATAAATTATTATGCATTTTTAAATCATACATCTTCACTAATCACTAGTCATTATCATTACCTCAATGGGGGTAAAATTTTAATACAATAGAAGTCATACCCAACAACATGGTTATTTATTTATTTATTAATTTTAATTAGCATGTAATCATAGAGATTAATGGTGGATCAACAAGATTATAATTATAAAAAAAAAATCATTAAGCCAGGCGTGGGATTATGATGACTTGCCTTTTATCACATGTTATATGACAAATTACATGTGAAAGATCAGCTCTATAACAAAGATTAGGGAAACTAGAATTAAATAGTAATGAAAATAGAAAACAAATTTGATTAGATTTAAGTCAAATTAACACTTACTTTTTAATTCTCATTGGCTTCTCTACCCGTAACAACTATATGATAACATCTCATTAAGATCTAGTTTAATTAATTACGTGATGATACACATAAAAATTGTATTTATAATATATCGAATTGGAAAAAAGGTAATAAAAAATAATTTGACATATACAATGTTAAATTTAAGTATATGTCGACGAATTAATATATTTCAAATATATTTAAGAAAATTTTTGTATAAAATTTTAATAAATCTAAATTTCCTAAACTTTAGGAGTAATTGGAATAATAGGTATAAATGATAAATTATGAGATGAACCTTTTAAAATGGTTTTGATATATATATAACATAGATCGGTAGATACATTGTTTTGAAAAGTGGAGAATATAGAAAGTGAGGTGAATAGAAAAGAGAGATTTAGATTTAGGTTTACTTTACGAATAAATCATTATAAATAATTTGAAATTGTTATAAATTTTGAAATATTTAATTCAAAATCTAAATGAGTAGAAAACTTAAACGAATAATTTATACGACCGATCCCAAATAAAATTAAAATTATGGCGATGTTGAAGTTGATGTTATTAAACTTACAACAACAAATATGATATCTTTAACTCTCAATAGAATCGGATTGGTTTGTTTTTATATTTTAATAGAAATTATTTGTTTCACCTTTTTTTTGTAATATATATCAAAATCTCCATATTACACATGATTTTGTGGGAGAGTGACGTCATTATGTATCCTTTTTATACAGTTTCAAATGAACTTCTTTCGTTGTCGACGAAAATAAATTGAATGCCGCAGAAAATTTTGGTAATATTTTTTTCAGAAAAATCGGAAGATATTAATGAAAATGTCGTCTTAAAAGATATTTCACAGCCTTTTGCTATCCAGAAGACAAAAAAAAAGAAGTAAACCTAACGTTTTACTTTTAGGTTTTGTCTTAGTATTGTCAATTCAATAAAAACATAGAACAGACATTTTGGTGTTTTTTTTTCATGTAAAAAAATAATATTATTAAATACTCTAAAGCCTGAAAATCAAAATGATAACATACAACTCGGACTTTGGTGAGTGAAAGGGGTGTTTGTCTAACTTTATTCAGACAATTATCACGTATTTTTCGAAAATGTGTCTAAAATGAGCAACACTTGAGCGTTAATTAAAAAATAATTAGAAATATAAGAATATATAAGATGAAGTAATCTATTTTTTTTTATACTTTGGAAATAATAGATAAGATGATACCAACCAACTACGAACTATTCATCAACTAATTCAAGAAACCCGAGTTATACTAGTGAAATAGTTGAATAGAAAATTGGACAATATATATATATATATATATTATTTTGGATTTTATAAAATTTTGACTTTTTCCATTTCAGAAATCTTGTCAATTATCTACAAATAACTACAATTTTTATTTTAATTTTTGATCTTTATAAATTTTAAATTATCTAATACACATAAAAATAGTTATAACTTATAACTGCAACATTTTGCTTAGGCTCCCATCCTTGTGGACAATTTTTTTTTTTTAATAATTCGATATTTTGAATCAAAGTCCAAACTAATTTTTAAGATTGAAAATGTGTCATATAATTTAGATTATACATTATTTTTCTAAATTTGAAATTCAGAATTCGAGACGACGAGACAAACATTTTACATCTATTTTACCAGTTGAACTATCAAAATAGAATTATGTTTTCAACCAAGTTGAGTTCCTCTCCGACTATACATCTCTTTACCCATTGATACATTTTCTACAGATTTTTATTAATCCAATTTCTCCGACTACAGTAGACGTACATACGCATATATATATATATATATATATATGTAACACATAATAGACTATAATAGTAGATGGGAACCATACATTATATATAGTTGGAGGTCATGAATAAAATGTTATACACTTCATGCATGTATCATATTAATTGCATACTATAAATTTATAATAATTAGATGGGTATTAAAGGTGATAATTTTGGTTATTAACCGAATAACGAATCAAAACAAACCGAATAAGATATAACTAGAATCGAATCTAATTCGATATAAAAATCGAACGGTTATTTTTTTTTAAATTCAAAAAAATCGAATCAAACCAATTAAAAAACAGTAATGGAAAAAACAATTTCTTTGAAAACATGAATTTTTTATAACAAAAAAAAAAACAAATCCGAACTGAAATTTATATAAGACAGAATGATTTTCTATAACCAAAATGATCACCCGTAATGGGAGTCATATGTAGTTGGAATAAAACGACACATATATACATATACACAAAACATGCATACATGTATGTATCATATTGTTGACTATAATGGTTAGATGGGAACCCTAGATAGTTGAATACAGCGAGATTCATAGAAGAAGAAGAAGAAGAAAGAAACCTGAATGGTGCGTAAAAGCAAAAGAGGCCATAAAGGCACAAACTCTCTCTATGTGATCAAAGAAGGGAAGTGTGATGGTAATGAGTACTCCTACTCTCCTCCTCTATGTCTATAGCCCTTCTTTTATCTTTTGCTCTTCTCCATGCCCTCTTTCATTGACCCACTTCTTCTGTCTATTAAATTATTTCCCCCTTCAATTAAATACCTTTTATATATATATATATATA